TCATGAAGGAACTGGCTGCCAAGGGTGGCGACAAGAAATAATTTCCATCTGCCTGGTACATTATATAAGAATATTATTTTAACTAAATTTGTACGTTATTTAGTCTTATGATATGAGCATGAGCAATTTTTGAGCATTAAAGTAGTGATCATATATTAATTTAAACTTTGTTTACATATTTCCATCAACTCTCTTTTCAAGACCTTTTTTAACTTAAAAGCGTAATTATCAGCTTAAAGTTGGGTTATTTTTCTCTGTGACACACATTTTTTTCAAACTCAAATAATTCTCTTTTGATGTCTGACAAAAAAGTATCCACTTAAACAATTATTCCTAAAATAACTCAACTTTACATAAACCGCAGGATACTATAATGGGGCAAACTTTAACGCCAAAATGGCACATGAAATGCCGAATAACTAAACCGAAAGCCGAAATAATTCAAAACTAATTAAAATCCATTTAAAATTGCACCCAGCCTGCAATGCAGAAAAATAATAATAAATTTTCCGACTTAAGCTGGGCAACTTTTTTGTCAACTGGGATGGTTGGGTGCTATAAATGGGTGGTGCAAAGTGGGGCGGTGGGACAATAAGCGACGCTTATCAACGGTGCCAACCGAAACTGTCACATGCATTGTCATTGTCACAGGGGCGGGTGGCTCAAGGGGCTCAAAAGGGGGTTTTCCGAGCAGAGGCCGTGCCATATTTGCATTTTCCCTCTCTTTCCTGCTTGCGTGCGTAAGTGTGTGTGCTTGTGTGTGTGGGCGGGCGTATGTGAGTTGGCATAGAAAATTATTTGCTACTTTTAATTAGTGCCAAAAAGTCATTCACAAAATCCTGAAAGAGGGAGACAGAGCGAGCAGCCAGGGAAAGAGACATAAGAGGAGTGTTGGCCACGGAGCGAAAGGGACCGATATGGGGAAAGCGAAAGAGACAGGCAGAGAGATATAGGAGCCACAGTGCACAAGTTCAACGAGCAAATACAAAAATGTCTATATATATCTGTATCCTTCTCGCTCTGCGAACTGCCACTGCTTTTTGCGGCAATATTTGCACAGCCTCCGACTGAATGAGCGGGTCATGAATGTGGTGCATGTGGCAAGACAGTGCGTTCCGGCACTATATGGCAGCAGTTAAGGGGCCACCTTACATTGCAGTTCACAAAGGTTGCGGGAAGAACTCTCAAAAATCAATATTTACATTACGTTCCCAAGGAACGGAAAGCATCATTAATAAAATACAGCATTTTGTGTAATATTTATAAATTAATAAAGCGAAACATGGTTGTGCAATTTAAAAAATTAAATAAAAATTCCATCCAATTAACGGAGTACCTAAATCTGCTACCAACGTGTTAACTATTTGCCATAGATTCAAAACCTCGCGTGTTTTTAATGAGAACTATTATATACTTACCAGATTTACTAGTCTGATTACCAACATTGTAATAATAAACATTTCCTAACTCATAATTGCTGAGACCTAAAACAGATTGCATGCATCAGTAAAAAATGAAATAGATGAGAAAATCTTTTTTATAAAGCAATGTTACCAAATAAAGGTTACATATGGTTATCTGAGCTGCTATTAATTTAATAAGATTTATTTTATAGAACTGCATTGTTATAATAAAACGCACTGTTCACCTAAAAGAAGCCACAACCCCAATCAAAAAGGCCAACAAAAAATGATAGCAATTTAGCTCGGCCTAAAACCGAAAATGTTCAATTATTAACTCGTAATGGTAGGATGTGTGTATGTGGAACGAGGGGATATGGGATAGAAGTCGGGGTCCAAAGAGAGGTCCAGTTGGTAAGAAGTCAGCTAAGCTGGCGGCCCGAAATTATAGACTATGATTTTTGTCAAATTGCATTCAATTTTGCCAGAGCTCGGGACAGGACTCCTTTGTATCTTGGCTGCCACAAGCATTTGTATCTCTGTATCGGCTGGATCTCCTTCCGTCCCAGTCCCTCCGTCTCTTTCGCTCCCATAGCTACCCGTCTCTTTCCAGAGTGGGCCAGTGCATGGCAAATGTCACACATGCATTTCAATTTGAATTTACAATATTTCTAGCTTCAAATGCAGGCATGTGGTTGCGTGTGTTCGGCTTGCCAGGCACTTTATATATGTCTTGGTCTCTGTTCCCGTCTCTCTCTGGCCCCTATACCCATCTCTTTCGCACAGTTTGTCATTTGCATACTTTGCACTTAAGTGAATTTAATCTTTTCTGCATGCTCTCCTCTTCGATATTTGTCAGCTATATGTGTATGTATATGTCCTGCCCTGAGCTAGCTGAAAATGTGTTTATCTTTTGTATGGATTTTTAATGCCATCTATTGCATCGTGGGAACCCCCCTACAATACCATATTTCCCACTCCCCACTCTTGGTATTCCGGTTCCTTGCTTAGTTTATTTTATTAAAATTTTAATTGCTTTTTCGAAAATGTTTTGTCAATGCGTAGACACAGCAACAACGAGTTCATTGATATACAGCGACGAAAACGGAAACATTCTAGATATTTTTATGATACACAAACATGTATTTTTCCATTTTCTTTTTGCTTGGTATGGTAATAATGGATTTTTCAATTGAACCGACATTTTTTGCAAGTTTGTCAGTTTGCCTGTTAAAACGTAAGAATGATGGAGAAAAATGTAAATGGTAGGAAAATGTTTAAGATTTAGAAAATGTATAAGGCAGTTTGCTGAATTTATATTCATAAAAATATTTGCTTTGATTGATTGCTTTTAAGGGGCAAGTGCATTGTATTCTTTAGATGAGAAATAGAAAACAAAGGTATTTTTATGAATTTACTATTTGGGTGTATTGTTTTCGATAGTTAGTTGATTTCTAAAGTATTTTTTAAATAAATTCTATGATTGATTAGATATTTAACTTTAAACGTTTCGATTTCTTCGAAAAATTGTATTTCGTTTTGGCTATGTGCTTTTCCTCTCCATTTATGGGTATACAATATTTACAAACTCCCCCAAAAGCTCAGATAAAAACCTCAGATATCAACACCTCCCCCCGCAGATTAGGTACCCATTTGCCAGCTGCAATAAGAAAATTACACGCTTGACTCGAACCGATAAACGTAAATCACACACAAATGACAACTGCCAATAACCTCACACGAGCATCCAAAATAAAAGCAAGCCGCAGAAAATAAAGAAAATTGAAAGCAGAAAAACAAACAAGCAAAAATCGAACGAAAATAAATGAAACTCGCTCTCAACAAATAAATTGCATTTTGGCCGCTGGCGAGGTAAACAGCCACAAATGCCACACGAAAATAGGAAAGAGGACCCAAGCAATAGAGCGGGCGGGAAAATAAAGCAAAACTTGACAATAATCGAAAAATTATTTCCACACATTGTGTGGAAATGCTGGGCGGCGATGGTTTCGGGGGGGCGTGTCAAATCAAAGAAACAAATAAAATGAGGAAAAACAAGCGGAAAATCCACAGTGCACATAAAAGCGGGGAGAAAAAGAAAAGAGTAGGAATTAAGTTAAGCACTTTTATTTATTATTAAAAAAGTTTTCATATGGAGGGGGGCAAAATAAAAGTGGAAAGGGGGGGCACGGTGGGTGTGCCAAAAGGAAAATCAGCAAAATCTGCACATAATGCAAAGAAAATCCCGAATTTATCGTATCACTTAGATGGAGTGTCATGTGTGTGAGGGTGTTAGACAGTGTTGGAGTTTTTCCCCTTTCAAAGGGGTTAGAATGCGCGTTAAGAACGTCACAAATGTGGTCAAAGTTCTTGAACTTGTCATATTGTATCTTTAAGATACAAATAGATATTTTAAGAAAATTAAAGATTCTATTCTAAAAGTTAAGTACTACAATTTTAGAAATATAATATTTATATATTCATATTAAATATACCTAGATAATTTGCATCTTCAATCTGTAGAATACAATAGGTACCATCAAATGAGTACCTACAGTTTTGTCCTTGACTGTCCTCACCGTGTTTGTGCATTCATAATACAACTGTTGATTATTGCGCCAACACGCACTCGACGTAAGTGAACCAGCAGCAACAGCTTCAGCAGCTTCGACTGTGAAATCTGCGAGCTGGAATCTGGTAACGTGGCGTATGCGCAATATTATTAGATATTGAAAGCAGCCATCGATGATGATGGCCAAAACGCAGCCCCGCCCGCGCAGCTTTCACCCCGAACCTCCCCACCGCCGAAAATCGAAAACCAAGAGCCAAAAGCAATTGAAAGCAGCCACAGCAGCAGCAGCAGCAGACATATGAATTTTTTCCTGGCTCCCTTTAGCACTCGGAATCGGAATAAACCTCTTTTAGCCCTCACATCTCCTCCAGAACTCCCCGCATTTATATGGAGCATGTGTGATGGTGGGGGTTATGCGATTTGGTTTCGGATTTGTCTGTGGGCGTGTCTTTAGCGGAGAGCTCTGTGGCTCCATGGCTCCTGCAGATGAAGCTGAAGCTGTATTAAATCGATGGCAATGTGCTAAATTTGTGGCAGATTATTTATTAGTGTAATGGCTTTAAATTTGCCAGCACAGATGCTCAAATCGTGGATGTTTTTCTCTCTCTGAGATTTATGTTTGTGCTTTGGGTATGGCTATTTAAATATTACATATAGATGGATTTTTTATACGATGCGATGAACACAAAATGATTGAGTCGAGATTTAACGCCTTTTTTATGCGGTTTTGACGGAATTTATAGTGTTTTTTCAGGGGCTTAAACTGAGGAATGTATAAAAATAAACTCTGATGTTAGCTGGCAGGAAATAAAAAGAACGGTAGGATTATTTCTTTATTAAGGTTACAAAGGCTTAACATTTTTTAATTCGGCATAGATAGTTTATTTATATATAACATAGTTATCCTAGTTTTAATCGGTCCTCACAGTTTAAATACCGAAATATATGTAATATATAATATATATATATATAAGTCGGTATTTATTCCATGCTTAACACTGTCCCTTAAGTAGTCCCCATGTTTCTTGAACATTGTGCAAACTCCTTGACTTGGCATGGCTAAGGGCATCAGCTTGAAATTGCCGTCACGAGCGGAATTTGTATATATATCTACAGCAAATTTATAGTGTTCATCGTCAAATCCTCAAGTATTTTAAACGTTCCATTCAATATACGCTCTCGGCCAATCAGTCGAAGCTGGGTCATATCGAATGGTAGTGAGTTCGGTGCCCCTGCGACGGACACAAAGTTTGCCTCATACGACATCGGTACTTGAAACTAAAATACAGATATTCTGTAAACATGAGTGTTCCCACATTAAAATATACTGCATATATTACCAGTGCTTTGGGTATCACCATGAGAAAAACGAACACTATGAATGTCAACATCACGCGAAGAGACCAATTCAACAATTGCAACTCAAACCCAGTTTTGCTTCATATTTATAGCCAGCTTTTTTGCTTTATCCCCTATTTCATACAATAATCTCACATGATCAAATTATTTTTATAATTAAGATTATTTTTAACACAAACTATACACGGAATTTATATGTTTAGGTGGACAGTAAACATGTTATAAACTACATAATAATATAGAACGAGGTTATATGGGCTTCTGTTTATACTTACATCATGAAACTATTTATTTTCGTCACTACGAGGACAGTGATAATTTTAAAGTTCTAGAAACAACGAATTCAACCAAAACTTACCAGCAAACTTATCGAAAACTTCAGGATGCCATGCCCATAACCCTTTAGCATCAACTTATCTGTCACACTCCATCTCCAAAGTGGAATTGCTTCCATTTCCCCCAACTCATTCGCCCCTTGCAGCTTCTAATCTTTCTAACCATTTGGCCATTTTCAATTCGTTTTACCCCGTTCGGTCGCTTTTTTTATCTGGCCACTTTCAAAATCAAATCTTACAAATTCACAACTGACAAACAAAGAAAAAAAAATGAAAAATCGAGGAAAATAAGTGCGAAAAATTCAGCAGAAGCCGACAGAAGAGCTGGAGAAAAAAGCCAACACGAAAAATCTAATAAAAGAATAGCTCAAAATCGGTGTGTAAAAATCAAATAAACGCTGCAACTGCAACGGCAGCCACTAAAGGGAAAGCTTGCCCCCAGCTGAGTTTTCTCTGGTCGGTAAAAAGTTTGTTTTTCGCCTTGCGCCAAGTTTTGTGCGTTTTTAAATGGCCCGAGCTGTGCTGTGCTGGCCCAAACAAAAACGAACAAGAAAAGCTGGGAAAACCATTGGAAACACATGTCCAGCCAGCGGACAAGGACAAGAGCCATGGATCCATGGAACCATGGACCCCGGGAGCTGTGCAAATGTTTGTGAGCTTGGATTTCTTTTCGGTCATTACATTAAGTTGGCTATCTGTGGAGATTCGTAGCCCAAGCACAAGCGCAAGCACACAAACTCCCCGATATCCGCATAAGTGGTATTTGTGCTTGTGCTTCTTGCTTTCTGCTTTTGCTTGGCCCCCAGATGGGGAGCAACGGCTGCTCCTAATGGTCAACGATTCGTAATATTTTTAATATTTGCTCAATAAAATGTCAGACAATTTCTGTCTCTGCCACTTAGACTCATTACATTTATTTGTAAGGTTGTTGCTTTGTTTGTGCTTAGCAAGTTCTCTATAGCCATCGAAATTCGAGACCAGGTGAATTTAATAATACTCTTCAAATTAGTATCAACTTGAATTTTTTTTCTTAAAGGAAAATAATTTTATAGGAAAATAATACAATGTCCTGTATTAAAAAAATATATAACTTTTTTAGAAGTCATAAGCCATATAGCATACGAAAAAAATGTCGAATTTTTGACAAAAACTAAATTTTGTATTTTTGACAAAAAATTTAACCTTTTTTCGCCATAAAATTCAGTTTTTGGCTGCCATAACAAAAATATAAGTCAGAATGAGGAATGTCATACCTCGTTGAGCTCGTTGTTTAATTTTCAATCGATTGGCATTTCAACCTGAAAATTTTTAATTTTTACCATTTTTCGAAAAAAGTGATATAACCCCTACAAAAATTGAGGAAATTTGTCAAAAAATAAATTTTCCTAAAAGTGATGAGGATTGTTAGCTTATTTAGCAAGCTGTTCAAAACAGTCGGTCATTTAGCTGTACGCCTTGATTTGACTGAAATACGATGGAAAAACCGGAAAAACATGTCGAATTTTTGACAAAACTCTGAATTTTGAATTTTTGACAAAAATTTTAACCTTTTTTTCGCCATAAAAATTCAGTTTTTTGGCTGCCCTCATAAAAATATAAGTCAGAATGAGGAATGTCATACCTCGTTGAGCTCGTTGTTTAATTTCCAATCGATTGGCATTTCAACCTGAAAATGTTTAATTTTTGCCATTTTTCGAAAAAAAAGTGATATAACCCCTACAAAAATTGAGAAAATTGGTCAAAAAATAAATGTTCCAAAAAGTGATGAGGATCGTTAGCATATTTAGCAAGCTGTTCAAAACAGTCGGTCTTTTTGCTGTACGACTTGATTTGGCTGAACTACGATGGAAAAACCGGAAAAAAATGTCGAATTTTTGATTAAAATCTAAATTTTGTATTTTTGACAAAAATGTAACCCTTTTTTCGCCATACAAATTCAGTTTTTTGCCTGCCATAACAAAAATATAAGTCAGAATGAGGAATGTCATACCTCGTTGAGCTCGTTGTTTAATTTCCAATCGATTGGCATTTCAACCTGAAAATGTTTAATTTTTGCCATTTTTCGAAAAAAAAGTGATATAACCCCTACAAAAATTGAGGAAATTGGTCAAAAAATAAATTTTCCTAAAAGTGATGAGGATCGTTAGCATATTTAGCAAGCTGTTCAAAACAGTCGGTCATTTAGCTGTACGCCTTGATTTGGCTGAACTACGATGGAAAAACCGGAAAAAAATTTCGAATTTTTGACAAAACTCTGAATTTTGTATTTTTGACAAAAATGTTTACCCTTCTTTCGCCATAAATATTCAGTTTTTTGTCTGCCATAACAAAAATATAAGTCAGAATGAGGAATGTCATACCTCGTTGAGCTCGTTGTTTAATTTCCAATCAATTGGCATTTCAACCTGAAAATTTTTAATTTTAGCTATTTTTCGAAAAAAAGTGATGTAACCCCTACAAAAAATGAGAAAATTGGTCAAAAATAAATTTTTCTAAAAGTGATGAGGATCGTTTGCATATTTAGCAAGCTGTTCAAAACAGTCGGTCTTTTAGCTGTACGCCTTGATTTGGCAGAACTACGATGGAAAAACCGGAAAAAAATGTCGAATTTTTGACAAAACTCTGAATTTTGTATTTTTGACAAAAATGTTTACCCTTTTTTCGCCATAAAAATTCAGTTTTTTGGCTGCCATAACAAAAATATAAGTCAGAATGAGGAATGTCAAACCTCGTTGAGCTCGTTGTTTAATTTCCAATCGATTGGTATTCTAACCTGAAAATTTTTAATTTTTGCCATTTTTCGAAAAAAAGTGATATAACCCCTACAAAAATTGAGGAAATTTGTCAAAAAATAAATTTTCCTAAAAGTGATGAGGATTGTTAGCTTATTTAGCAAGCTGTTCAAAACAGTCGGTCATTTAGCTGTACGCCTTGATTTGACTGAAATACGATGGAAAAACCGGAAAAACATGTCGAATTTTTGACAAAACTCTGAATTTTGAATTTTTGACAAAAATTTTAACCTTTTTTTCGCCATAAAAATTCAGTTTTTTGGCTGCCCTCATAAAAATATAAGTCAGAATGAGGAATGTCATACCTCGTTGAGCTCGTTGTTTAATTTCCAATCGATTGGCATTTCAACCTGAAAATGTTTAATTTTTGCCATTTTTCGAAAAAAAAGTGATATAACCCCAACAAAAATTGAGAAAATTGGTCAAAAAATAAATGTTCCAAAAAGTGATGAGGATCGTTAGCATATTTAGCAAGCTGTTCAAAACAGTCGGTCTTTTTGCTGTACGACTTGATTTGGCTGAACTACGATGGAAAAACCGGAAAAAAATGTCGAATTTTTGATTAAAATCTAAATTTTGTATTTTTGACAAAAAATGTAACCCTTTTTTCGCCATACAAATTCAGTTTTTTGCCTGCCATAACAAAAATATAAGTCAGAATGAGGAATGTCATACCTCGTTGAGCTCGTTGTTTAATTTCCAATCGATTGGCATTTCAACCTGAAAATGTTTAATTTTTGCCATTTTTCGAAAAAAAAGTGATATAACCCCTACAAAAATTGAGGAAATTGGTCAAAAAATAAATTTTCCTAAAAGTGATGAGGATCGTTAGCATATTTAGCAAGCTGTTCAAAACAGTCGGTCATTTAGCTGTACGCCTTGATTTGGCTGAACTACGATGGAAAAACCGGAAAAAATGTCGAATTTTTGACAAAACTCTGAAGTTTGTATTTTTGACAAAAATTTAACCTTGTTTCGCCATAAAAATTCAGTTTTTTGGCTGCCATAACAAAAATATAAGTCAGAATGAGAAATGTCTTACCTCGTTTAGCTCGTTGTTTAATTTCCAATCAATTGGCATTTCAACCTGAAAACTTTTAATTTTTGCCATTTTCGAAAAAAAGTGATGTAACCCCTACAAAAAATGAGAAAATTGGTCAAAAAATAAATTTTCCTAAAAGTGATGAGGATTGTTTGCATATTTAGCAAGCTGTTCAAAACAGTCGGTCTTTTAGCTGTACGCCTTGATTTGGCAGAACTACGATGGAAAAACCGGAAAAAAATGTCGAATTTTTGACAAAACTCTGAATTTTGTATTTTTGACAAAAATGTTAACCCTTTTTTCGCCATAAAAATTCAGTTTTTTGGCTGCCCTCACAAAAATATAAGTCAGAATGAGGAATGTCATACCTCGTTGAGCTCGTTGTTTAATTTCCAATCGATTGGCATTTCAACCTGAAAATTTTTAATATTTGCCATTTTTCGAAAAAAAGTGATGTAACCCCTACAAAAATTGAGAAAACTGGTCAAAAAATAAATTTTCCTAAAAGTGATGAGGATCGTTTGCATGTTTAGCAAGCTGTTCAAAACAGTCGGTCTTTTAGCTGTACGCCTTGATTTGGCAGAACTACGATGGAAAAACCGGAAAAAAATTTCGAATTTTTGACAAAACTCTGAATTTTGTATTTTTGACAAAAATGTTTACCCTTTTTTCGCCATAAATATTCAGTTTTTTGTCTGCCATAACAAAAATATAAGTCAGAATGAGGAATGTCATACCTCGTTGAGCTCGTTGTTTAATTTCCAATCAATTGGCATTTCAACCTGAAAATTTTTAATTTTAGCTATTTTTCGAAAAAAAGTGATGTAACCCCTACAAAAAATGAGAAAATTGGTCAAAAAATAAATTTTTCTAAAAGTGATGAGGATCGTTTGCATATTTAGCA